TTTAATGAGATGAGATGAGTTGTCACAATATTATTGGATGATGTGTGTGATTTTTAAAAATGGGATAAGATGAGTTGTGATGAGTTGGATGATGTGACACATTTCTTGTGTTTGGTTTATTTTTAAATGTAAGAAAGGAGATGAAATGAGATGAGTTGGAAGATAAAAATAATATTTTATTAGATGTTGTGGGTGAGTTTTAGGGATGGAAATGGGTAAAAATATTATTTTATTGATTTCCTTGTACCGATTTTCTTTTCTTGATTTTTAGGAAACCAACCAAACGGCCCCTAATGGAAAATATTTAAACTGCATATTTTAAGGATTTGACGTTTGATACGACTAATTGACGTGAACTCAGCATTTGCAACTTGCCTCTGACTGAGTTATCAAAGACTCCCCTGAACTTATCTCTGTCCGCCCCCAATGAATGCATGAGATGAACGGGGAGCGTTACGCGTCAACCAGACGCCAACCATAACTTTTGGAGACTACTTGATCGGTAAAAGTTATGACTACAGTTTTGAGTAATTAAACCGCACTATTTTGTGCTTTTATGATCTTTTTATCTTTCTAATTGACGTCCAAATTTTTGAATATTTTTTATCTTTATTCTTTCCCATTGATATCCTAATGCTTGATTTTTTCCCCTGCTTTTTTTTACGAGTCCCATAACCCTTCAGCCTAGGGGTACCAAACTTCTGGGCGTGTGGGCGCTCTCCAGAAGAGCTTCACCTGAAACCTTAGGAGTAAGAGTACTATTCACAGACAGCTTACCAATTCGACTAGACTCTCTTGAGTTTTTCTCTACCTTCTTTATTACTATTTCTTCTTTTTCTTTTTTTTACTATTTATACTTCAAAACTGTTTTATTAGTTTTTAATGATCCTTTTCACATTTAAGTCTGGTGCAAATCTTTGCTACGGAGGAATCTAGGCCTTTGTTTTGCGTCGGCCATGATGTGGTCAGCCCAATTGCGTCGGCCATGATGTGGTCAGCCCAATTGCAGCCCATTTATAACGTTGTGAACAAACAACATAGAAGTATAAGTAAAACGCGAGCCCACTTTAATATAAGTCACAGTATGTTGACATGAGTCATGCCCTCAGCAACACACACATGGTTACAATTGCAAAGGAGAGAGGGCAACAGGCAACAGCCAACAACAATAAATAAATAAATAAATAAAAAGAATTGTAAAAGCCCCTTCGACACCGGAGATGCTCAAAGTGAAGAGATCCTGCACATTCATTTTTGACATAAAAACTGTATAGATAACTGAATAGTAGTTCAAAGAAGTACTCAAAGCATTCCGTCGGCCTTATTCCGAAATATTTTTCTAACTACTTCTGAATTAAAAATTTTGCCTTCTATTTCATGCGAATATCAAAAACTAAATTCGTCGTAACATGATAAAATAAATAAAAACAAGGATTGTCTGCACTTTAATTAATTATTTAATACCTTCCTTAAAAAAAAATAATTATTTAATAACTTAAAGTTTCACTCTTTTTTTTGTTGAAAGTTTTGATACCTTGAAGTATTTAATTCCAAGAAGTTGTCACACTAATATTAATTCAGCAATTTGATGTCGCAAAACCCTAAGTTCATTTCTCACTTTCCCTATAACGCTACAAACTTAAATTTGGCGAGTAACTTTTTTCTTATTTGCTTTTTCATGTTGATATATATATTTTTAAACGGAACTAACTACAGTTGTTCTTGCACTTTAGGCTCCGAATTTGTTACAGTTAAACTTTGCAGTACCAAAGTTAAAAAGTGCAGATCTTAGGGATATTAAAGCTGATATAAACCTAAAAGCCATTACTATCTTGACATTTTAAATTAAGACCTGTGATATCTTTTATAGTTCTATTTTATGATAAATAGTAGACGATGTATATTATTCCAACCAGAAAGAACAGGTAAAGTATTGACAAAGCTATTTCGTCCAGAAAGTTTTGAGGAGCATATTTGTTGAACGCTCAAATCCAAGCATTTCTCTCGAATAAAGTAATAAAGTGGATTTTTATTTTTATTTTTATTTTTCTTGTCATGAGCGTCTTGCCATTATGGTCTCTAAACTCGGTGATATCGTGACGATTGCACGAAAGAATAGAAGCTTCTAAAGGATGATTGAGAAAGTGGTAACAGGCATTGGTTGGACCTCCAATCAAAATTACCAAACCTCCAGGCCCGAACAATGTGGGCCATAGCCCATGTGCAACAAGCGCATCCAATGGCCCAGCGGTGGAGTAGGATAATGCAAATAACCGACTTTTCCACGCATGGATGGTGATTGTGTTCTAGAAACTTAGAACCCTTCAAATGATCCTACTAAGATCATTGACCTTATTATATATCAATGAAATATTTTGGACTATAGCCTTCATTTCTAAAACAATTCAAGCCAAGCCATACAATTGAGAGCATTGCTTAACTTGTTTTAAAACCAAATGTCACATTTGTGAGATACTACTTCATTATTAGTTACAAAAAGACTAATGAGACTACAAGGTCCTACATTCCATCTCGGAAGTCCTATTAAGAGTATGATTGATTCTATCGCTAAGGGATTGTTTGATTAGGGGGACGCTTACTTCTCTGAATATCTGGTTTTGAGTTGAATAGCTTTCAGCCTACATAAATAGTAACTCGTGAGAGGACAGGAACTAGTTCCTCCGTGGTTCCCCCGACGATCAAGTCAGTTGATGAACTTGAGTGGGAAAATGAAGAACTATATGAGTTCTTTAGTATAGTGCAGTATAATTATCAGACATCGCTTGGAAAAATAGCCTCGAAAAAATTGCCCCCACCATATATTTGAGTGTTTGATTATTTAACATCAACAGGGTTCATAACCATAATTTTCTGTCTTGATCATAACAAGAATGTACACTGTAAATGACAGTTGCACGTAATTGTTGTCTTCTAGTTACCTGCTTCAATCTTGAAATGTTTCAATTGTAGCTACCATGATTAGTTCCAGATGTTTGTTTTAGGATATTAAGATTTTGGGCAGAACTGCAAAACAAATCGTAATTGTGGCTTATACTCAAATATATACTAGTCATCAACTACATTTTTAAGATATCCTTGGGAATCGTGGTTGGAGTTAGATTTATTAGTTACCATAAACAAACAATTATGATTGATTAGAGGATCCGGATTCTCTCAGACTAGTTGGTAACTTGAGTAGGTTCAATTATCTCAATCTCCATCGCTAATTCCAATTTTAAAGGACAAGATAAGACCATGTGACTATGTGAGTGTTTCACCTTCACATTAGTGGTTTTCACAATAGTGTTTTCACCAAAATAGCAATTTTCATGAGGGTGATGGAGATCCTAAGTTGCATAATCTTTCCATTGAAACTGGAACCAACGGTGGAGATTGACGTAATTATTGGACAATCTCCAATTACCACATGGCTAATTGGAGGGAGTCGTGATCCTTAATTAGAGTATCCTGGGGACCGTTTGATATGTGGACTAATTTTGATGCGCATAATGAATTTTGAAAAATCCATAACTAAAAAATCTCATTTGGTTGGGATGGATGGTAAAGAGGATTCGTATAAGCAATACAACTTAATCAATTTTTATTTTGTTGCACACAATTTTTATTGAGAATATGAAAAATGACAAACAAATAATATATTTGCTAAAAATCCGTAAATTTTAACTTGTAGATTCTTATTTTTATATCCAAAGATGCAAAATGCACGAAAACAAACAGCCTCACGCAACAGCATTTGTGACTCTCACAAAATAAAACAACCCATTTATTGATGATTTCTACACGGATTGGACTCGGAGAGTGAGTTGAGGGATGTTGCCAGATGCGGGCGCAGGAAAGATGGCGCCCTTTCCGGTCGAACCCGAACCAGAACAACCAGCGGTACATCCCCTGTATTTTTCCCGCAATGGGGTCCAGATACAATGAGAGAGACGTGGTAGCCACTTGCTCCAAATAATAATAATAATAATAAATAAATAAAAAAAATTAAACTCTCCTTTCTTCTGCCAGCCAACTTGTTTGGATGAGTTTACAGCTACTCAATTCTCCGACATCTCATTATATTGATACCACCGCCACAAGCTAAAATTATAAACTTTAGACCAGTCAGATTATCAATTTATAAATATTAGTACGTGATGGTATTCATTCATTTGTAAATTGATTCAGATGAAACTGGAGATTATCTACGTGATTATTTGGCATACAGTATTTAATTGTTCGGATCCTCCGGTATATTGATAAACACAGGGTTAGAAATATGGATGCGGATGAATGTAGTGTGAAAATACTCAGCAATGTTCTAGATATTTATAGTTTTATGTCTGTTTATCCCCCTTCTAAGCTTTAATCGGTTCAAATATTACATCAGATCTCTATTATACTCAATCCCAGCCCTAATTTATTTTTCTTAAATATGTTGGAGTATGTGAAAAATAACTCTAGGCAATCGAGTATTTTTACAATACAAAAACAAATCATAACTATTAACTATGAAAATTGACCATTATGATGAGAGCAATGGTCTCTCCATTATTTTTTTTATAGTGGATCGAGAGGATCTGAATCCTCCGTGAATTGTATTCACTGGTAAACGAATGCAATTCGTGAGGCACGTATAGTGATTGTCATGTTTAAAATAGATCATGACTGTCCAATGGACAAACCACAACCCTTAACTATAAAAATTATTATGATGCGAATAATGTTCTCTTCATCAATATCCTTTTTTTATAAATAGTGGAGTATCCCACAACATATTAAAAAAATATTTTCTATATTCGAAAATATCTGAAATGGTCTGCCAAAAAGAAGAGACAACACCTCACATGTTACTCTCCTTAATTAATTCATTAGTCACAATACAAATAATACGATTCAGAAATATGATTCTATTATTATTACTCCCGTAGGGTTTTTTTTTTAATTTTGAGAGAACATGTACTATTATTAGTTCTTATGGAACTCAACTTTTACCGCAATTATTTATCATCAGTCTGGTCCCTGAGTAATTCTTTTATTCCAGTGTAAGCTACCACCGCCATTTCAGAAGGAAAGATAATTAATGTACAATTTACATTGGCAAAGAGAATTTGCATCTCCAAATTTACTCCGTTGTCTACATCATCAACAAGAGAAAAGCTTGCAAACAAGAGAAATTTGAGCATCTAAGAAAAAATATTCACATAGGTTAGCGCCGTTAAAGAAATTGATTACAGCAAGTTGCAGAGACCGAGATCTCACAAACTAACATGATACAGAAATCGACTCGACAAAATACCACAAATTAATTCCCGATATGTGGCTCTCTACCAGCACTGATCAGTCTCCCAAGTCCTCCGACCAAACCCCGCGAACCCTTGCGAGCTCGAGCTCGCCC